GGTATTGTAGTTTACTGGGTTTATAATCTTCCGTTGATCAACAATCCATAAGTCAATAGGCTTAAAGCTGGTCACAGTATATGTTGTTCAAATAAACATGTGGAGCTATCATGTTGCTTGTCAAGTCCGTGTTGCACACATTCTTCTGCTAACGTACTTAAAGTTCAGAACAGAGACGGAGACAATATTTCAAGTTTGGTTAAAAAACCAACAACACAAGTGTTAGGCGTAGACAAACATATGGTGCACGCTTGATGGGAGCTACAATACAATGCACTATATTTAGTATATGGTAGTATGTTTACTGTGCACGTGGCATTGGGCATCTATATTCTGAGAAACTTTCACAAGTACGAACAATGAATAATAATGGATATTTCTAAATCCATGTGTTCTGAAGTATACAGTAAAACCTGTACAGCCTTACAAGCATGCAAAGGCAGGACGACTTCGAGCCCGAACTCGTACGAGTGAGATATAGCAGTGGATATACGATGTTATTCATGTACTATGTATATAAGGATCATATACCAGAAGCCTTCCATGTATTTGGCTTATGTAGTTTTAAACATCGTTGCTTATAGCCACAACCATGTGAATGTGTCTATGACAGAAGTTAACATGTTTTAAGTATGCTGACCCCTCTGCGAAAAGAACAGATACGCAAATAAAATTATTCGGACAGATCTGAAGATAAAAAGTGAGAAGTATTTTTTGTTTCCGGCGCTATACGGCTACTACATACTCTGTATTAAAAATTTATTTATTTATTCTCTACAATATATTTGTATGTAGGGCCGTGCCTCGTACGTATACAAATAAATAGCCTATGCGCATGTGAGCCTATCATCGTTATTAGTATCTCCACAGTACCATAGCATCCCCCTCCCAGCATCTTCCCAATATGATGGATGAACATTCATCCGATGATGAACCCGATTTCGGCTCGGAGCCTGTGGTAGTGCCACCCCAAGCCAAACCCGTTACTACTACACCACAGAGAGCTGCCCCCGACAACACCACACGCGTCAACCAACGTGCTCAGACAACTGGTGTTCGGCCACCGGCTTCAGGTAGGGATAGATAGTAGATTTAAAGTGATGTTATTGTTGTTGATGTTGATGTTGTTGTTGTTGTTGTCGTTGTTGTTGTTGTTGTCGTTGTTGTTGTTGTCGTGTGTGTGTAGGCAGAGCAGCTATAGTACTGTTGTTGGAATGAGATGGGTAAGCAATAGTAGTGTTTTAGCAGCTGTTGCAAAAAAGTGTGCGTATAGCTCACTTGTTATGTAAAATATATTTTAAGAGAAGGTCTTTAGTGTGATAGCTATTCTGAGAGTGTGCACTTTTTTGGTATGTGACTAGAATAATATTGCT